AATCGTAATCCTGAACTCGGCCGTGAGCTGCAACAAGTCTCAATAGAAGTCGGTCGTCCGCTCTGCGATACCGTTCACGACGATGTGCTGCAGTCTCCCTGGGCTCTGTCCGAGCCGTGATCTGATGCTGCGCGGCTGGCCGTCAGGCGGCTGGCGCGCTAGGCCCGCGGCCGATATGGAAATCGAACAATGGAAGTTCTGGCGATGGTAACGCTGCCGAAACGAACGCAAAACGCACCGCCAGGACAAGCCTCCAGCGGCTCGGGCCTTGGAGGAGGAGGAGGAGGAAGGAGGGGGGAGGAGGGCGAGGGGGAGGAGGAGGGCGAGGAGGATGAGGAGGAGGAAGAGGAGGAGGAGGAGGAGGAGGAGGAGGAGAGGGGGAGGAGCAAGAGGAGGAGGAGTAGGAGGAGGAAAAGAGGACGAAGAGACCGGATTGGGGGGAAGGAGGAGGAATTGGAGGAGGAGGACGATGATGAGGAGGAGGAGTGAGTGAGTGAGTGAGTGAGACCAGTCGCAGCAGCGAATTCGAGAACGATCACGATGGACCACGTGTGAGAAGCTCGGCCTTGCTGAGAGCCTTTGGACATCTACCGGCATGGATCCGACTTAAATACTTACGACGGCTTGCATTCGTAATCCTAAGGCAACTAGGTCTCACATTTCATGCTTGACTACTAGCGTAAAAACCGCAACTCGCCCAACACCACAGTTGGAACTACTTATGCAAACGCATCTGGTGGCTATTGTGTACACAGTCCCCCGAGATGTGTAGGCGAGCAGAGGAGGGGGGGACAATAATCTCCCATCGACAAAACCCGGCTGGAAGCCCTTGGGCTCCATGCACTCGGCGAGTGTAGCGGGTGACGCAGAACTACTGCGCACAATCCATTCCCTGAGTCGTCCACTGCGTGACGAGATGCGAACAGGCGCAGTGCAGCAGGAGGTGGAGGCGGGGGAGGTGCAGGCTCTCTTTCCCTCGAACCCTCACTTTTCTCCAGCTCAGCTTAGCAGGCGAGCGTGTCCACCGTCGCTCGAATCAGTATGTTACGAACGTGGTGAACTTGCTTTTCCACGGCGCGGATACGGTAGGGCGCGTTCTCGGGCACTCGACGTCTCGCAGCGGCAACGGCCGCCGCGATATCAGCCACGGTGTTGCCCACCACCAGTCGCAAAGGCGTCCTGGAAGAAACCGCCTGGACACCCGACTGGTGGGGAATGCACGAACATAACGGTGAATAGTTCAGCCTCCCTTGCTTGAAACTCGTGGTCGATAAGCTGCCAAAGATCAGCATGTTCTCCGACGGGGTGACCACATAATCTCGCGCTCCAGCCGTCTGCAACCATAGCATTGCCTGTCACTTAAATTGCCCTTCCACGGGAGCAACGAACTGCAACTAGAAGGGCGTGCAGCTCGCCCCTGGGCACGCTCTGCAATGCCCCTGGGAGCCCTCCCGACGCCGTGACTGCCGTCGCCAAGGGGTCAAATGATGAAAGATGCGCAACTGCAAACCAACTCTCATGAAACGCGGGTCAGCCGAATCGGCCCCTTCCGCTGGCATCGCCGAACATCCGTAACGGTGAACTCCAGCTGCCCTCGTCGAGCGCGACAGTGCCAATGCCGTCGATGCCCGCCGACTCACCTGACAGAAACCACCCCTCCTGATTGCTGGCTGGTGAGCAGGCTGCCCACGCTGATGGTATCATACCCCTCAACCAGGAGCAATCCTCACTTTCCCACCTTGACTGTGCTTGAGGAACAAGATTGGCCGACTGCGCATATGCAGCAGAGCCCCCACTCTTATCGCAGCCCCAGGCTCGATGAAACATGCACCCAGGCTCCGTGAGGCATCTCGGGCAAAGGCGGCTGATGCCCGCCGCCCTGGCGCCCGCTGCGTCCACTCGGCGAGTGCGTGGCCAGCGTCCGCGTGTGGCCACCACGTGCATTGCCTCTGCCATGGGGTGGCCGCCTGGCGTGGCGAGAAGTTGGCAGTGCATGCGCCGAAGAGACACCATGCCAACACCCCCTGCCAACCCCATCGCCGCAGAAGTGCTTGGCCGCATCGCCCCACAACTGCTGGCGAATGCTATCCTGCAGATCCGCGACAAGACCCCGAAGTTCATCCGTTGCAGCGTGCCCAGTCCAAGCCGTGTCTGGAAGCGGCCGCCCGACTTCACCCCCAGACTGGCTGACTGGTATGGCCCAACATTTGGCAGACTTGGGGCCCAAGCCGTTGTTGAGCAACAAAGTGGTGATGGTCGGCATCGGCCCCTTGACGCGCCTGGACCTCTGAGCTCGATCGACCTGGCGCAACTGATCAACCGTGCGTGCCCAAGCTGCCGACGCACTGGGCCTGGGCGACGGCTCCTCGAGCCAAATCTGAAACCGCATCCTGGTGCGCTGTGTCGGCATCCCGATGGCAGGGTCGCTGCCGAGAGGGGCCTTCAGTGCAATCGCAGTCGTGAGACATCGCCTTCGGCCTGAAGATCCACGAGCCGCCGCGAGCCGACGGCGATAATTCAGCCACTGAGACCCACGTGCGCCATGCATCTTATGTTCCTGCGGCTTGCGCGCCAAGCCTCTCCAGTTTCGAAGTCGCATGGGTGCGCTTGCCGCCTCCTGCAGATCTGCTTGCGCGCTGGTGCATCCGAGAATACGTGGTTGCCGCGCAATCCTCGTACCACGTGCATGCAACTTCCCACTGCCCGGATCACTTCCCAGGTGCGCCGCGGCCCGCTGAGGCTGGACTGGGAATCCAATCCAGTTCTTCGTGGACCACGTGCGACTGCTCGCGCATCCCGATGATTCCAGCACATCGCCACACTTTTGGAAAAAACATTAAGCTCAACTTTGCGCAACCCATGACAAGTAATACACGCGCTCTGAATCAACTTGGATCTAACGGCAGTTCGTGATCCGACTGTGCGATAAGACAAATAATGCATCCATTCCCTGTGTCCTCTTGCAGGGTGTGCCAACGCGCACTGAATCGTGAAGAACACCATGACCTCGGCGAACTTGGTCCATCCCCGCAGACCCTGCGCCACAGACTGCGCAGGGCAAACCACTTCACTCCACGACCCGCTCTGTCCAACTGTGCGAGGCGCCATGCACTGCAGCGCCTCCAAGCAACTAACAGCAGCGGGAACCCCCAAAGCCAGGTCTCCAGGTATAAGATACCTCCATTGAATTGAATCGTAGAACTTCTCCACGTCTAACAGCACAAGACCACTGGACATAGAAAGCGCCCGCCCTGCTTGCTGCTCCAACGTTCGGACGCGCGCCTCTCGAAAGGCGGCGTTGCCCTTCGCGGCGGCATCCCCGTGGGCTGCCGTGTCGTCGTTCCACGTGGTAACTGCCGGCTCCCTCGCAAAGTTTCAGATCCTGCAGAACATTTCCAAGAGCCCTATCGCTCGATCCCCGTCGGCCTTCTTAGGCAGGAGCTTGCCCAAGACTAAGGGAACCTGATGGGGTCACGCGGCCGTGGCCTCGATGGCCATGTATACGTCGGCCAAGTCGTCAAGAGCTGCTGCAGGGGGCCCCTCGATATCTGTGGGAGAGAACCAATCCCCTCCCATGCCAGCGATGGCCTTCATGCGATGCGCCGCTCGCCGAAGGCATAGAGCCGTGATGCATAGTTGCGGCTCGTAGGCAGTGCGCTCTCGAACTTCGCGAAAAGACGCGCGCAACTTCTCCGCGTCGCCATCTGTGGGGGCCCACGGCCTGCGCCACTGACCAGCCTTGTGATCCATGATGTCCCGCGGATGGACCAGCGCCGACTCGCCGGAAGTAATTGAGCCGAGTCATCGGCTCATCCTTGATATTGTTGTGCAATCGGCCAACAGCCTCGGGCTTCTGCATCCATGCCGTGAACTCCCTGAGCGGAGTGGAAAGAGCTCGTCGCTGGCACCTAGCTGCTACTCGCCGGCCCGCTGGGCGAAGAAGGCCGCCTCCTCCTGAGTCGCAGCGCGCGCGCGCCCTTGAGGAAAGCCTGCCGCTTCCTCCACGGCGGATCGCCTCCAGCGCGCGCGCAGCCCAGCGCGGGCAAGCGGTGGGCGCCCGTCGGCCATGCTGCCCGCGGACTCCAGCAAATGATCGCGCTGCCGTTGTCTGTTCTGCCGCTCCTGATGCCGAGCAAAATGATAAGGCGCGACGTGAAGACGGCCGCTGCTTGACTGAATGAATGAGCTGCTTACTGAACGAAATTGGCGCCGGTGCTGCGACTCGCGCCGGGAGGGGCCTGTCTCCTTGATGCGCGTATAGAGTGGCATTTGCTGCTCGCGCCCAAGAAGCATATGAGGCACCGATGGAGGCTAGCGCCGAAGAGTCAGCAAGCCAAAATGCTACGGAATAGGAAAGGAAAAGGGGAGGGGGGGCGCTGCTCTGTCGGCGTGAATCCGACCTCGGCCCCGCGCCTGTGCCGGGCTTCCTCGCAGACGAAGAACGGAACAGACTGCCCATCGCTTAAACGGTTTAAATCGAGCCAAATTCGCCTCTGGAGCCGGGGGGTGACTGGGCGTCGCGTGCGTTGAAATTGGGGAGATCAGCCCGCTAGCGCCGTCCAAGGCGCCTCCCGAGAGGACGCGGGACTCGCTGGCTGGGTTGACCGACCTGTCCCGAAAACAAGCCCGAATCAGGGGGCCCCACCCTGATCGGGACATCTGCTGGTGCGAAGCGCGTGTCATCGGCCCGAGGATCCCACTCAGATAGAAGCCTCTCGTCGCGCATCGCATGCAGGGGCGCCTCCTCAGGGCCCGCGGGGCCCTGCCTTTCACCGAGCGAACTCACGTCGCTGATGGCGTCGACCTCAGGCGCGGCCCCCTCAGGAACCTCGCCCCGGAAGAGTGCGGTGAACTGAGCCTTCCTGGCGGCGAGTTTTTTTTTTCCTTCAAAAAAGCAAAAAATAATACATTATTATTATTGTTATATATATATATATATATATATATATATTTTTATTTTTTATATTCTTATTTGTTTTTAAATGTTTTTCCTGGCGGGCGCGGCTTGACTTCGAGACTGGCGTCGGCTCGGCGGCAGGGCGGCCCCGTTGCGGCAAGGCGCCCGGCAACTCGAGCTGCCTCGTGATGAGCTGCCGCCCCGGCGACCTCAACTGCAGCGCCGGCCCCAAGTGGGGCTTCCACGGCGCGTTGGCAATCCCCTTGATGCTGCTGCTGAAGCGCCGAGGCGTCGAACCGCAGATGGCGCAATCGATTGTGGACCCATCCTTGCCCGCCTCGCGCGTGGAGGAAATGCTGCCGGCGGTGAGGATGATGGGCTCGCCGATGAACTTGGACAGCAACGTGGACTTTTGCATCTTAGCGACCTGTATATTGAAGTCGTCACTTTATACATGAAGAATCTGCAAGGTATTGATCGCGGCCTCAATATTCTTGAACCGCTGGACGTCGGCACCCGTGAAGCCCAGCGACGGCGGGCCGTGGCGGGTGAAAATCGCCATGGAATAACCTTGCATATGAACGGTCGTAACTTGGAACCCATCCGACTGATTGTGACCAGCCGAGCGAAGCTGCGCGCCTGTATGAAAGTCGCTGTGCATGGACTCGACCTGCATGTGCATCTTGGCCATGAACCACTCGCCGCCCTCGCTGGCCCTCTCAGCCATGGAAGCAGCAACCTTCTTGGTTCGAGACCCTGCGTGATTCGCCAAAATGCGACGGCAGCAGCTGTGGCCTTCTTATCCCACTGCTTGAATGATGACTCGCTCGTATGTGTCTTAACGACGCTCACGTCGTCGTATTTGCCCTTCACCAAAAACTTCCACGCCTTGTCTCCAAGAGACGTAACATTCGCATGCAAGATAATACGGGACATTGAACTAGCTTTGGATGCCGTCGAAATCCCAACTGACGGCGACGCAGGCGAGGAAGCGAACGACGTGCCGTCCACGACCGTACTCTTCTCGCCATACTGTCGGGACCTAGTCAACGATGACCGCCAATCTCGACCTTGTCGCCCTTGTTCCCCGTGCCGTTGCTGCCCGTGCCCTTGCCCATGGCCTTGCCCGCGGGCGCTTTGACTGCGACCGCCGCCTGCTGGGGCGCCTGCGCCTTGGCAGTGGGCAGGCGTTGCGTAGCAGCGCGAATCTCATTCTCCTCCTCATCGTCGTCAACTGGCATGTCGGTGCCGCCGTCCTTGGAACAGGCTGCTGCAGGAGCGGCGGCGGCGGCGCCGCCGCCGCTGGGCGCTATGCCAGCGCCCTCGGCTTCGCCTTGGCTGCCAACCGCATTTTCGTTCGTCCTCGACTCGGTGCCCTCGGTGTCGGCGGGGTCGGCCTTCCGCTTCTTGGCGGTCCTCTCGCCCGTCACCTTGCGCGCTTCCTCGGCCTTCGAGGACAAAGCGAGCACCTCCTTTTCCTGGTAATGAATATATTTGAAACCCTCTCAAGATCATCTTTGACCTTCCGAAGGTCAGCTCTCTCGTGCTCATCGCGCTCCAGCTCGTCGAGGCCCTCGAAAATGCTGGGGTCCCACGTGAGGCGGAACTTGCGCTGGTCGCAACTGCATCCCGCCTGCCCCGCCACGTCGAACCCCTCAGCGAGCGCCAGAGCCTGGGTGGCCCCGCGCTTGGCCTTCTCGGCCTGCGCGAGGGCGACGGCCGCGGTGCGTTCACGATCCTGAGCTGCGGCCAAACCGTCCTGGAGCTTGACCACAAAGTTAACTGCCTATGTGTGTGTGTGTGTGTGTCGATGGTCTGCGTCCTTCCAAGGACTGCTCGGGCGTTTCACTGCTTTAGCTGGAGTAGCGTCCGCCGAAGAAGCTGGGGTGGCAATCTTGGCCACCTGCTCCGGGAGGACGCACTCCAGCTTGTCGTCCGTAGTCTCCTGCATCGCCAACTTCAGTAGGCTGGACACATCCTTGGGCTGCGTACCACCGTCGCTGCCCTTGCTCTTGCGGTTCCCTCCTCGACCACGGCTGGTGCGCTTGGCGCCGTCGTCCGCTGGGGCGTCGACGTTGGAGGCACCTCCGTGATCACGATTCTGAAGTTTGAACAGCTTGACCTTCCTGTTGCATCGCTGGCATGCGCAATTGTTGCTGGGAAGGCTGTCGTTGTACCCGTACTGACCGCAACCTGCACATAACCTGCTGACATCACGTCTGGTTTGGTCGACGCCAGCAAAAGGAATTGGTGCACCCTGGGTGTAGTGCCTCAAACGCTACGTGCAGGCACAGAAGTGGGGCTCTTGCCAAAATGGTCTGGGCCCAATTTGTTAGAGAAGAGGAGCAGGAGGATAAGGAGGAGGAGGAGGAGGAGGAGGAGGAGGAAGAGGTGGGACGGAATGCGGTAGGATATTGAAATGAGAGGGAAGGGGATGTGTGAGGAAACGGAATCGGGAGATGCGAGAGAAAGAGGAACGCGGGGTAGATGGGAACGGGCGAGGGGCCAGAGGGACAATGGAGGGTAAAGTGTCGGCGGGCGGAAGGGACGGGGGAGGGGGACAAACACAAGAAACTTGACTCGCGCAAATGCAGTCGGTTGCTGGGCCAAGCTTGAAGCAATGCCGAAGCGAACCCGACCTGACCGACAACCAGGCTCACCCTGATCAAGACTTGACGCGTGGATGGAAGGTATACTCCTGCGGCGACATGAAGTCAAAACGACGGACATTTTCTTCCCCTCGTCCTCCTGAACCCCTCCTTTTTGCCTCTCCGGATCGCGGCGCACGCTTACAGCTCGCCGCGATGGTGCGCCGCGTCGGGCGAGGTACCCAGCGGGGCAGATCACCGGCTTTTCTTGCCGCGCCGCTTCCTGGAGGCAGACAGGCAGGCCACGGTTCGTCCTCTCCTCCTCCTTCTCCTCCTCCTCATCGCCCCCTTTAAGTATCGTTCGCTCACGCCTTCGCTGGCTGCTGCAGTGATCAGGGTTAATCGCGACAGGGGCACAAGCACACGCACACGCACGCTCAGGACCCCCTTCCCCTAGAAGAAAGCCAACTGGCACGAACACAACTTTTCGGAGGTCCGCTCGATTTATTGGATTGGAGCTGGTCCCTCTGGGCGACGCCTCCGATGAAAGTCGGCTGCCACATCGAATCGGCCCCGCGCTGGGTCGGGCGATGTCGAAATCTGAATCGCGCATCGGGATGCCAACATCGACTCGGATCGATTCTCGAGGGGACGTAGAAGGTGGGTTGTGCCTAGGGGTGCTTCGAGGAAAATGGCCCTGGACGTCCCCTGGAGAAGAGATATGCAAGTCTCGAGCTGAGTTCGATCCCTGACCCACCCTCCACGTACCCCCGAGAATCGGACCCCTGGGAGATCAGTTCGAATCGGCCCAGCGGCGTCGGAAAGCGCCCTGGAGGGGAGGGACGGCTTCGCCCTTCTCTCCTTCTTCCAGCCTGCGCCCCTCCTCCAGCCCTCCTCGCTCCCTCACCCTTCCTCCCTTCCTCTTCATTCTCTCTACCCATCCACCCTGGATTCCCCTCCCGCTCTGCGCTTCCTCCTCATCGGCTCCTTCCCTTGCTCTCTCTCCCCTCCTGGTCCTGTCCTTCTCCAGCTTCTTCTCCTCTGCCTCCTCGCTCTCTCATCGATCTCGGCTGCAGGCCTCCTCCTCCTCCTCCTCTTCCTCCTCGTCCTCCTCGCGCACTGCCGTCTACCTTGACTGCAAGTGTCCCTCTCCTTCCTCAAATCACGGGTCGACTGCAACCATGTTGATGACAGCTGCTCGCTGCCTCCTACTGCTGGGAGTTGCTTGATGCCGCCCATGCTTAATCATCTTTGAAGGCAACTTCCTGTGGGGGTCGAGACCGAGGATGAGGATACGGGTTCAGGAGGGTCGCGCGCCACCGAAGGGAGAGACACGAGAGAGGCTCTGTAGTCGGCCACTGACCCTAGGGGGGGGCCCTCTGGAGAGGTCCTTTTCGCACCACAGAGCGGCCGAGACTGGCCGCCCCGTGGGCCCGCGACAGGGCCCCCCCCCCCCGGGGGGGAACACAAAAAACGCCACTCCCGTCATCCCCGAGATCGCGGGATTTCCGCTCTGGGAGCTGGGTGCCGAGGCTTCTGGCCTTAACTTCCTTCAAGCCGACATTCAAACGAACACACACACACACAACCCACACAAAACACACACAACACACAAAACACACAACATACACACAACATACACACACGCACGCACACATACACGCACGCGCGCACGCACGAACGCACGAACGCACGCACGCACGCGCGCGCACGCACGCACGCACGCACGCACGCACCCACACCCACCACACACCCACAGACACAGACCACACACGCCACACACACCACACACACCACACACAAACCCACCACACACCCACCACACACCCACCACACACCCATCACACACCCACCACACACCCACCACACACCCATCGCACACCGACCACACACCCACCACACACCCACACCCACACCCACACCCACACCCACACACCCACACACCCACACACCCACACACCCACACACCCACACACCCGCACACCCAGACACCCTCACACCCACAGCCACACCCCCACACCCCCATAAGCACACAACCACACACAACAACACACACGCACACACAAACATATACACAACCCCACACAAACACAGACACATACACCCACAAACACACAAACACACGCACACACAAACACGCACGCAAACACAAACACACACACACAAACACACACAACCACACACACAAACACACAAACACACACAAGCACGCACAAACACACACAAACACACACAACCAAACACACAAACACACACAACCATACACACAAACACACACACACACACGCAACCACACACAACCACACACAAACACATACAAACACACAACCACATACGAACACACACAAACACAAACACGCACAAACACACACACACAAACACACACAATCACACACAAACACACAAACACACACATACACACACATAAACACACACAATCACACACAAGCACACACAAACACACACAAGCACAAACACAAACACACACACACACGCACACACAACCACACACGAACACACGCGCACAAACACACAGACAAACACATACAACCACAGACATACACATAAACACACACGCAGCCAGACACAACCACACACACAAACACACAACCACACACATACACACAAACACAAACACACACACACACAACGACACACGCACACATACACACAAACACACACAAACACACACACAAACACACCACCACACAACCACACACAAACACACACACAAACACACAGACACACACACAAACAAACACACACTCAAACAACCACACACAACCACACAACCACAAACACACACAACCACACGCAACCACACACTCACACACAAACAAACAAAAACACACACACAAACACACACACACTCACAAACACACACACACAAAAACGCACACAACCACACACGAACACATACACACAAACACACACAAACACACACACACACATACACAAACACACACAAACACACAAGCACGC